GTGTTTTAATTTTATTTGATATTAAAACATTTAATTCTTTCATATTTTAAAAATTTACTTGAATATTCTCAACATTCGAATTATTTCCTTTGAGTAAAAATTACTTTTGTGATTAGAAAAATTAATTTTGTGATCTGAAATAATTCTATTTAACAAATTTTTATTTGCAATTTAAAAAAATTATTTTGTAATTTTAATTTTGTGAGTACTTATTGTTAAAATAAAATAAAATTTAAATTTAATAATTAATACAACCTTATTGTTAAAATAAAATTAAGATTTGTGATCGAAAAAATTAATTTTGTTATCTGAAATAATTACATTCAATAAATTTTTATTTGTAATTTTAATTTATTCAACATCTGAAATTAATTTTGTGATTAGTATGTGTCAAACCACTACTACTGATAGATTGCCACTTAAACATGTCGTCGTAGTTCGAAACTCTCTTTAGTCATGCTTATCAATTTCCTTTTTAATCGCTTCAGAGCTTTTCCACTCGACATTTTCTTATTCTTGTTACTTGCGATCCGAATAGGTGTTAATACAATGTACAGAATTTTTTTTTCTTAGTTGAAAGTAAATGTTTGTGAAGCACTTTATTATGAGAAATTCAAACGTTCAATCGGAATTATGCTATCAGGCACAAATTTTTTAGTTATATTAAGACTCATTTTACTCTGATTCATAAAATTATTGGTAGAGCCGTCGACAATTCTTCAGCCTATTCTTCAGATGTTGATACTTGTGTTAATAGATTGCATGATAATTTGCAATTCCTGTACTTTGGGGATCTATAAATAAAACTGACAGTGAGAGCGAAAAAAGTAGAAATGAGGAATTGCCATCATTTCTGTGAAAATTATAAAAGAAAGAAAATATGTAATAAAATTAAATAAAAACTGGTATATTAAAAAGTTGATTAAAAAAACATAAAGATGATTAAACTGTCAAAAAGCGGTATAACAATAACTGTATAACAAACACGTCTGTATGAATTATTACACTTCTTTTTAACAGTCAATCAGCAAGAAATGATATTTATCTGATGTGTAAAACTCTTGGGGGTGCCTACTATTAAGTAGTTTAAAGATTGATAAAAGTTAATATTTGCAGGTTTACAAATTCTTACAAATTAGTCACTAAACTTGGAGGACATTTAACAATTGTCTAGTATATAAAGAAATGAAATTAGTCTCACCCCTTGTGGATTGACTGTTAAGAGACAACATTCCTCAACTCCGCTTTTGTATAAAACGTTTAAATAATAAGAAGACATACGTGAACTATTCACGTATAATCTAAGATAATTTTCAAAGGAAAGTTAACAGAACGTTTTCATTAACTGGTACACCTACTCATTAAACAAAGGTAAATGGTCGGTATCTTCGTCCATACGAATAAGAAAATTGAAGATTTATCCAGTCTCCTAATCTGCCAGCATATAAAAACTTGATCCAAATTAATTCAAATTCGACGGTTGACAATTATCAACTGGATTGCCATTCGATTTAACACGAACGTTCGAAAGGATAAAATAACGTTTAAAAGAATTTCTAATGTTATTTTCTAATTTAAGAGTTTTATAAAATTTGTCTGACGTTTGCTGTATAGACTAATCAGAAAAATTGTAACATTTCCATCAGCATAAAAAGCTATTTTTCTTAATTGTTTCGTCAAGACCACAGTTCAATAACCAGACATAAAGGCTAATTTTACTGCGCCAACATAATATACAGGGTGTTCCATAAGTTTCCATAGATACAAAAATAAAATGTAACTTTATTCACAAAACATTAAAATGTCAGTATTAAGCAATGGGGTAACTTCTAGCATGACTTCCTACGTGGAAACTGGATTCTGTTTAGGTGTTATACACACGAAGAAAACCCCGAACACTGTATGGTAGCCAGCCCATTGGTCAGGCACGAACCAATAACCAACTACTAGTATTCAATGGTTTTATTTAATCGGCTACTGGTGGGCTTGATTTATGTCACTCTATTGAGACTTTTAGGACACTCTGTATATAGCTAAAATCAGCATTACCACGTTTATGTTTCTTTCCATTCACACATGTTTTCACAAAGTATATTTTCTTTTTTCGGGTATTGATAATCGCGATAAGTTTCATCGACTTTATTAAGTTTCATCGATCAAATTAAGTTTCTTTGATAAATAATAACTCGATTATCTCCAATTCGCTCTTATTTATAGGCGTCGAAGTTATTTCCGAACCGCTTCTATCAATTACTAAATATTTTTCAACGGAAAAAGCAGCCTTGGTGGATGTTTTAAATTTATGTTTAAAATAAATCAGTCGATTTCTCACAATATTAAAACGAATTATTTAAAATTGTTTTACTATTATATAACTTTTCATCTTATTTAAGTGGACATTAAATTCACGATATTACAAATTGCAATGTTAATAAATTGTATCGGATTTCATAAAGTACGAGTAGAATTTTCTGCATGTTTTTTAATTCTGAGTATGAAATAATACACTCTATCAAAAGAAAATATATACAACGACGACAAATACAAAAATTCTTGTTCGACAACGGCATAAATCGTACGAATTTTTAACAGAATATATATTGGCATACAATAAACATTATCAAATCAAATATACGGTAAATTATTAATACAAATAATAATTGTGTTATTTGAAAATGAAACGATACTTTCTCGTGTAATTTAATCACTGCTCTCTCCAATTATTTCTTATAACGCAAATCTCTTCCGTGATTTTCATTCAAGAATAGAAGAAAAACGATAAATATCTGTTTTATATAATATTTAAATCACAAAGCAGTAAACATCATAATTGTTTTTCTCGCGATTTATACCTTTATTCATCGGGTTATCACATATGGAAGTCGTAGTGATATATAGTGTATGTATAAATGAATAGAGTGAAAAATTCATAAATCATGAAATTACATAAAGAAAACTTTGTTAATAACTTAAGTGTCGAGCGACGCAACTAATTCGTGTCCAAATAATTCAACCGCTTTTGATTTAGTTTCTTTCCTGTACTTTTTCAAATTTGTAACGACTTTACCGATTTCTTTAATCTGCTCAGTTTCTGATCCTCGGTGGATATTAATAGAAGTTGTAACCAAATCGACTAAACCCCATATTACAAATACGGCATTCAAGACACTAAGACCTATTCTTACTACCAGTCGTGCCTCTTTTAAAGATAGCGTGAATAATCTTCCTGCTTCTGAAATCGATTTTACGATCTGATCAGCAGAAATTGCTGTTTTAGTGATATTTAAAAGCGATCCTGTTTGTAATACATCCTTTATCGGTGTAGTTTTGATTATATTCACCATATTATTATCGTCCTTAACATATTTGACTAATTGAATGATGAGCTGTACTTTCAACATGATCTGTTTATTCGGCGCCATTTCTTCTAGTTTTGAAAGAGTTGGACACCAGTTGTCTAAGGATTTTTGTGTGCTCGTATCCACATTTTCAATACAATCGTTTAATAAAAGTTTCAGTATTTGGTAATGTTCTTCGTCTAATTCCTTTAATAGCTTTTGGAATTGTGTCAAAAGTTGACTGTATTCATTTGCTGCTCTTTCTATTTCTTCTGTGAAATTGATATGTGTATTAAATATTTCATTGACTTTTTCATATAGTTTTTTAGAAAGAATATAATTGGTGATGGTGGATCCAGCTGAAACGATTCCTCCCGTTGTGGCAGTAGCAATTCCCCCAATTGTAAGAGCCAGAGAAGTTCCTGCAGTGATTGGCATGAGAGCAATTCCTACAATGCTGGCAATTGAACCCAAGATAGTAGCAGAGGCACCTGTCAAATTGGCACAGTTTGATCCGAATGAATGCTTCTTCAATTCTTTACGAATATTAAGTAAACTGAGGCTAATTTCCCAGGTTTTCTTGTGCCATAATGCGTACTTCTGAAAAAGTGTATTCTTCGTATTGACAATTGTTTCCGCTATTTCAATCAAGTTCTTGAACAATTCTTCTTGTATATCTGTAAATAAAACAAAATGTTCTAACTAAAATTTAACGTAAGGTTAAACCCATATATCTTATTTCTATTTAAAATGCTATTTTATGAATAATCGTGTTATTTGAATGAAATCTATGACAATTTTGTTTAACTCGTAAAGTGCACATCTAGAGTGCACTCGTAAAGTGCACTCTAGCTTTTAAATTAAGTAAAAACAATCTTTTTTACTTTTAACATAACGAAAGTGCGAATATTGAAGTGTACAAAACCACCGAACAGTGATAGTTTGTGAGGTGTTCACGCCTCATCAACGAAATGGTAGTGCGGAGTTTTCGTGTTTGCTCACGTGTTTAATGTCTAAATAGGGACTATTTTCCAATAGTCCTTTCGTGAAACATTTCTTTGGCATATCATCCATGTGTTACGTTGCCATGTGCCAGCTAAACCGAATCAAATCATACGACTCATTGAGTACATCAATTTCATCCCCCCGAAAAATCTCCAAGAACTTTTCGGGTGTGGTCCGTTCGGATATGTCGGGCCTCGTCCGTCACCACACGGTAGCCCCATTGTGGACCTGGCCGAACCCATAATGGGCTTGCAAAAAGCGGCCCTCTTAGTGCCCACAGGGCGGAAAGAGTTAAAAAAAAAAATTGAACCGTTATCTAGTTTGTTTGTCGCATTCAATCATTTACATATCACGCTTCATTATCGTAAACTACACCGTCGCATAACACCAACACTAGTACCCAAAATACAACCCGTTGTTCCTTGTTATGGGAAGTGGAAACGGCACTCCATGTCTTCGAGTGGCGGCTAAATTGGCTCTGGTACACAAAAAATGAAATAGATTTCTGTCTGCATCTAAATCTTCCTAATGCATATACTCTTTGTATGTTACTATTATCAATAAAATAGTTACATTGTTCAGATAGTTTTATAATTACATACGTAAACATATAAGTATGCAAATAACTATAACGTTTATCGTAATAAATTGCTTTGCAACATTTTCCAGTTTTTTAACATAGTTTCCTGCGTTCTTAATTATCTGCAATTAACAGAGACCAATATTAAAGCAATTCACTCTATTCGGCTATTTAATTTGGTTCTAATCGCTTTTCAGGCTCACAGCTCAAGCATCCAAGGGTTGTTGTGTCTCTCTACCCAACTTCACATTAGCGACACATTTAAAGGTTCTGCGTAAGTCAAAAAATGGCCCTATGATATTTTCATATTTTTAGACTCGGGGGCCTTCAAACGTCGTTAAAAGCAAAAAAGGAGAGTTTATATGTAAATAGGATATTAGTGAAAGCACGATTTCGTTCACCCTCTTTGAAGGGTAAAAACACCCGTGCTTTTTGTCGAAAATTTCTAAATTTTGCATGGGGAAAACTAAATTTGTNGTTATTTGAATGAAATCTATGACAATTTTGTTTAACTCGTGAAGTGCACGTCTAGAGTGCACTCGTAAAGTGCACTCTAGCTTTTAAGTAAAAACAATCTTTTTTACTTTTAACATAACGAAAGTGCGAATATTGAAGTGGACAAAACCACCGAACAGTGATAGTTTGTGAGGTGTTCACGCCACACCAACGAAATGGTAGTGCGGAGTTTTTCATGATTTGCTCACGTGTTTAATGTCTAAATAGGGACTATTTTCCAATAGTCTTTTCGTGAAACATTTCTTTGGCATATCATCCATGTGTTACGTTGCCGTGTGCCAGCTAAACCGAATCAAATCATACGACTCATTGAGTACATCAATTTTATAAGACACAGACTACATACAGTATTAGTTTGCTTAGCCACTTAGCTGCTTCTAACGTAAAGTTTAAAGTTTTCTTATAACAGTTTATTGAAATAAATTTACATTTGAAAAATTTTAATGTGATGCATGAAATTTAAGAGGATTTCTCATGTGTTAAAAAAATTATTAAAACCTTTCGACTTTATCATTCATTGTGTTGGAAAAACTTAGAAAACAGAATAAAATTTTAAGTTTAAATTAATTAATAGGATTAGCGACGAGGTCAATGTATCGGACAGGCCAAGGCGCGCTCGAAAAATCGTCAAATCAAGTGAACAACTTAGTGCTTCTACATCATACCTTTATATTATACTTTGATGCTATAGTAAATATTACTTGAATTAATCTGACATTCAATTATGTTCACATCAAAAGAAGAAACAAAAACGAACTGTATTGTAAATAGTCTAAATCCCTTAACACATTATTAAATTTAAACATGAAAACCCCAATCACTATATTTATGCAACTGAATGACTTTACCTCGATATAAGACAATTTAGCCAGGTTTTCAGCACACTTAAGCTTTATTTTCTCCCATTTATATTATTAATGCCCTCCTTCCTTATTTTCAACAATATCTAGTCTTTCTTTTCAGAAAAAATTTCCTTTTTAGAATAATGTTTCATCTGGCTTATGGGACGAAATATTATGTTATATAAACTACTGTCAGGTGTTTAAAACTGTATACAGACAAACTAATATTAAATTATTCAAATTCTGTACAAAATACATTATTTTGAAACGAAAAACAAAATTAATAATTCATATAATTTACTTGAAAATGTAATAATTGTTTCGATAATTGTTCTGACACTATTATTATAGAAACAATAAGGATGATTCTTACATTCTAAGACCGTTTATTTAGGAATTTTTATTTTAAAATGTCGTAGGGTTGTTACATTTCCAGTGGAAAAATTTCGTACAGTGGTTGAGTGCATAGGAGCACGCTTTCATTTGAGGTGGAACCCGAGAACTCAAGCTCAAGAATTGCGAATATCGTTACGTTTTATTATGGCATTTATTATTATAGAATCGCTAGATATTTAGCCACAGATTTACCACAAATTACACTCTCCATCTGACCCAGTTTGGATTGCAATAACCTGTCCTCGGCTCCAGGTAAGTATTAATCCATCAATCAGAACGAATTTTAGTCCCAAAAATAGGTAAATAGAAAAGATCGATGAAGAGCTAAGAAAAAGGACTGATGATATAACGGTGTTTGAAGAGAACGGTGGAAAGATAGAATAACATTGAAATCTTTAGTGCACGACTCAACCCAGGCTTCTCTGTATTAAGGGCGAAGAAGAAAAACAGGTAGCACAAATTTGAAGATTGGACGGTTTCATCAGTTTCATTAGAACACATCCTTACAACACACCCACGATAACATTCACAATTGAACCATTATGGACGCCGGATGGTCGAACGGTCAAGGTGGCAGCTTACCGCTCTGGGGGACCCGGGTTCGAATCCGAACGGGTCGAAAAATCCCCAAGAACTTTTCGGGGAGGTGGTCCGTTCGGATATGTCGGGCCCCGTCTGTCACCACCCGGCAGCCCCATTGTGGACCTGGCCGAACCCATAATGGGCTTGCAAAAAGCGGCCCTCTTAGTGCCCACAGGGCGGAAAGAGTTAAAAAAAAGAAGTTTGTTTGTCGCATTCAATTATTTACATATCACACTTCGTTATCGTAAACGACACCAACACTAGTACCCAAAATCCAACCCCTTGTTCCTTGTCTGAAAAGTGAAAACGGCACTCCATGTTTTCGAGTGGCGGCCAAAGGGGCTCTGGTACACAAAAACTGAAATAGATTTTTGTCTGCATCTAAATCTTCCCAATGCATACGCTTTTTGTAATGTTACTATTATCAATAAAATAGTTACATTGTTCAGATAGTTTTATATTTACATACGTAAACATATAAGTAATCAAATAACTATAACGTTTATCGTAATAAATTGCTTTGCAACATTTTCCAGTTCTTTAACATAGTTTCCTGCGTTCTTAATTATCTGCAATTAACAAAGACCATTATTAAAACAATTCACTCTATTCGCCTATTTAATTTGGTTCCAATCGCTTTTCAGGCTCACAGCTCAAGCATCCAAGGGTTGTAATGTCTCTCTACCCAACTTCACATTAGCGACACCTTTAAAGGTTCTGTGTAAGTCAAAAAATGACCCCTGAGATTTTCATATTTTTCGACTCAGGGGCCTTCAAACGTCGTTAAAAGCAAAAAAGGAGAGTTTGTATGTAGATGGATATCAGTTTGTGGGAGCACGATTTCGTTCACCCTGTTTGAATGGTAAAAACACCTGTGCTTTTTGTCGAAAATTTCTAAATTTTGCACGGGGAAAACTAAATTTGTAAGTAAATATTTTAGTATTGTTTTAAATAATATATAATTATCTTTCCCTATCAGCTATTTATGTTACCGTCAACGTCAACGTGTGTGTAGGGAATGCTAGAAGTGACGTAACGCTCGACATGTTCACCACCAGTCGGGAAATTTCCCTGCGTCAGTTATCCCTACACGGTTGTCATGTTCGCGCGCTAACGACACCATTTTAGCATGTCTAATGTCGCTCTTTCTCGTAGATGGAATGTATTATGGTGAATTAAAGTAATTCATTTTATTAATACCGACGCGTGCTTGCGTATTTCTTAATAAAGTCGTTCTAAAACGAAGAAAGTAACCGGAAATAAAAAGTCATTCGTAACTTTTAAACGGTTGATCGAAAGTAAACATTTTAGCGTGTCAAATTACATGTAGATACGTGTTCATCTATTCGTTAATATTAAGTCTAAGAGAGGGAATATTTTTGCTTCAATCTAACCCATAGTTCTATTATTAATTTGTAATTTATTACGACGACAATCGTTGATGCTTTAGAGCAGTGTTTTTCAACCTTCTTGAATATGCGACCCCTATACAAGTTTTAAAATTCTGGCGACCCCCCTAGTGCCATATTAAAACTATACCAGTGATTTTAAAAACATGTATTTAATTTTCTTTCTGTTGAGACAAATTATTGTTGATTAAGATAAAAATTTCAGAAGAATCGACAATAATTTAACACATAAAGTATGAAACTTCCTTTAATTATAACATTAGGCACAGGGAACTGTTAACTTTTTTTTTTAAG